TCCCAGGCTGGATATATAGCAAAAAGCAGGATGAAGGCAGTTTAGATCTCAAATTATAGCCCAGGTACCAGTTTTCAGTCTCATACTCACAGGAAAATTTCATCATGCTCACTTGTAGTTTCCAAGCATAGTATACAGAAACTTACGATTCTGATGTTAAAATTCTTGTCTTAGGTTTACTATTCCTCTTCCAAAATATGTTTTATGTAGCTTAGGCTTCTTTGTATTCATGATAATAAGATGGAAATAAAATTCTAACTAGAGATAACCTTAGCAACTTGACTTGATTCTAAGAAAACTACTTCATGTATAGATTTTTTTCTTTCAGAAACTCAAAGCAAAATCTGTATAAATAATACCAATTGCTTATCAAAGAACTGTTCCTTTAGAGAAGAACATTTTTCAATAGGCTCTTAAATTAGCATTAAGTAAATATGGAGACCCAGAAAATACAGTTAGGAAATGCACAAACTGAAAACAGCAATAACTTAATTTTCTCTTCTTTGGTTAGCTTCTGTTTGCTCCTATATATCATTGTTTGTATGCACGCTCAGTCACTAAGTCATGTCCGACTCTGTAATCCCACGGACAGTAGCCCACCAGGCTTCCCTGTCTGTGTGATTTCCAAGGCAAGAAAACAGGACTGAGTTGTCATTTTCTTCTTCAATGTATCATTTGTGTAAATCTGAAATCGGAAATCTGGACTTCGAAATATTTTCCCCTAGTGGAATGTAAAAAAAGAAACCAAGGTGATTCCCTTATAGCACCAAGAAGTTCAGGTTTTGGGCAGTAATGCTAAGAACAACAAAGACAGTAACAGTATTTCACACAGTAAGCATTTCTTTTAGTGCAGGTACAGTATTTACAATCAACCTGCTTCATAGACTGTCATAAAAAAATTCTGACTAATATGATAACCTTTTTAATGGAAATACTAATAATGTTAAAAATTTTATCAAGGAATGGCACAGGAAGATGCATAAAGCTTTTTTGTGTTCATTAAATTAACCTTCATTTAAATGTGTCCAAAGACACTTAGGCTGAAGTTTTAGGATAAGCTGAAAAATAATTCTTCAAAAGATTATGAATAATGGCCCCATTATTCCTCCCTCTTACTGAGTCAACTGCCAACATGTATTTATTGGAAAGAAGAGAACTCTGATATACCTGATTTCTTTTGCAAAGTGGATGACCATAGCTATGATAAAGCTATGACAAAGCATGGTTGTTATACTAAGTCAGAATTTTATTACATTTATAAAAGAGACTAAAAGTTTCCATAGCCTTCTGTTAGGAACCTATACACTAAGCTGAATGCAGCCCCTAAATTATCATAGTGGTACCCACACACCTATTTGATATTCTTCCCAGAAACTGTCCATCATCATTCGGTGCAATAGACATATTAATATACTTTTAGATGATGAGAAACTCCAAGACGAAAACTCCCAAACTCATTCTATAAGGCCACCACCACCCTGATACCAAAACCAGACAAAGATAACACAAAAAAAGAAAATTACATGCCAATATCACTGATGAACATACATACAAAAGTCCTCAACAAAGTTCTAGCAAACAGAATCCAACAACACATTAAAAGAATCATACGCCATGATCAAGTGGGGTTGACTCCAGGGATGAAGGACTCTTCAATATATGCAAATCAATCAGTGTGATATACTACATTAATAAATTAAAAGATAAAAACTACATGATCATCTCAATAGATACAGAGAAATCTTTCAACAAAATTGAAGACCCATATACAATAAAAACTCTCCAGAAAATTGGCATAGAAGGAACCTGCTGCTGCTGCCGCTGCTGGTAAGTTGCTTCAGTCGTGTCCAATTCTCTGCGACCCCATAGACGGCAGCCCATCAGGCACCCCCGTCCCCGGGATTCTCCAGGCAAGAACACTGGAGTGGGTTGCCATTTCCTTCTCCAATGCATGAAAGTGAAAAGTGAAAGTGAAGTCGCTCAGTCGTGTGCGACTCTTAGTGAACCCATGGACTGCAGCCCACCAGGCTCCTCCATCCATGAGATTTTCCAGGCAAGAGTACTGGAGTGGGGTGCCATTGCCTTCTCTGAGAAGGAACCTATCTCAACTTAATAAAGGCTATATACAACAAACCCACAGCAAACATTATTCTCCCTGGTGAAAAAGTGATAGTGTTAATCTCTAAGATCAGGAACAAGACAAGGGTGCCCACTCTCACCACTATTATTCAATATAGTTTCAGAAGTCCTAGCCAAGGCACTGAGCAAAGAAAAGGATAAAAAGAACCCAGATTGGAAAAGAAGTAAAACTCTCACTGTTCACTGATGACAAACATCTATACATAGATTTTAATATATTTTTTATATGTGTCTAGATGTTTTTCTATACATAGAAAACCCTAAAAAATGTCACCAAAAAACTATTAGAGCTAATCAATGAGTTTAGTAAAGCTTCAGGATATACAATTAATACACAGAAATCCCTTGCATTTCTATACACTAACAATGACAAGTCAGAAAGAGAAATTCAGGAAATAATCCCATTCTCCACTGCAACAAATACCTACAATAAACCTACCAGAGGAGACAAAAAAGCTGCATATAGGAAACTATAAGACAATGATGAAAGAAATCAAGGACAACACAAATAGATGGAGAGATATACCATATTTTTGAACTGGAAGAATCAATATTGCCAAAATGACTATGCTGCTCAAAGCAATCTACAAATTCAGTGCAATCCCTATCAAACTACCAATGGTATTTTTCACAGAACTAGAACAAAAAATTTCACAATTTGTATGAAAACACAAAAGACTGTGAATAGCCAAAGCAATCTTGAAAAAGAAAAAGGGAGCTGGAAGAATCAACCTTTCTGACTTAAAGCTATACTACAAAATTATAATCATCAAGACAGTATGATACTGGCACCAATACAGAAATACAGACCAATGGGACAAGATAGAAAGCCTAGAGATAAACTGATGCACCTATGACTATTTATTTTTGACAAATGAGTCAAGAATATACAATGGAGAAAAGACAGCCTCTTCAGTAAGTGGTGCTGGAAGAACTGGACAGCTACATGTTAAAGAATGAAATTAGAACACTTCCTAACACCACACACAAAAATAAACTCAAAATAGATTAAAGATTTAAATGCAAGACCAGAAATTATATAGCTCTTCCTTGATAGCTCAGTTGGTAAAGAATCCACCTGCAATGCAGGAGACCCCAGTTCAATTTCTGGGTCAGGAAGATCTGCTGGAGAAGGGATAGGCTATCCACTCCAGTATTCTTGGGTTTCCCTTGTGACTCAGCTGGTAAAGAATCTGCCTGCAATGCAGAAGACCTGGGTTCAATCCCTGGGTTGGGAAGATATCCTGGAGAAGGGAAAGGCTTCCAACTCCAGTATTCTGGCCTGGAGAATTCCATGAACTGTACAGTTCATGGAGGTGCAAAAAGTTGGAGGTGACTGAGTGACTTTCACTTTTATTTTTAGAGGAATATATAGGCAGGAAGATTCCCTCTGACCCACCTCCCAGATTAATGGAAATAAAAACAAAAATAAACAAATGGGACTTAATTAAACTTAAAAGCTTTTGCACAGGAAAGGAAACTATACACAAGATGAAAAGACAACCCTCAGAATTCGAGCAAATAATTGCAAATGAAGCAAGCGACAAAGGATTAATCTCAAAAATATATAAGCACCTCATATAGCTGAATATCAGAAAAACATATAATTCAATCAAAAATGGGCAGAAGATATAAACAGACATTTCTCCAAAGAAGACATACAGATGGTCAATAAACACATGAAAAGATGCTCAACATCACCCATTATTAGAGAAATGCAAATCAAAATTACAATGAGGTTATCACCTCACACCAGTCAGAATAGCCATCATCAAAAAAAACCCCACAGAGAGTAAATGCTATAGAGGATGTGGAGAAAAGGGAACTTCCTGTACTGTTGGTGAGAATGTAAACTGACATAGTCATTATGGAAAGCAGTAGGAAAATTCCTTTAAAAACTAGGAGTAAATCTACCATATGACCCAGCAATCCCAGTACTGGGCATATACCTGAGAAAACCACAATTCTAAAAGACCCATGTTCTCCACTCTTTGCTGTGGCAATATTTACACTAGCCAGGATATGAAAGCAACCTAGATGTCCATTGACAGATGAATGGATAAAGAAGATGTGGTATATATACACAATGGAATATTACTCAGCCATTAAAAAGAATGAATTTGAGTCAGTTGTGGTGAGATGGATGAACCTAGAGCCTCTGATACAGAGTAAAGTCAGAAAGAGAGAAACAAGTATATTAATGTGTATACGTGAAGTCTAGAAAAATGGTACTGATGAACCTAGTGGAGAATGGACTTGTGGACACAGCAGAGGAAGGTGAGAGTGGGACCAACTAAGAAAGCAGCATTGACACAGAAACACTATCATGAGTAAACCAGTGGGAAGCTGCTATGTAACACAGGGAGCCCAGCTTGGTCCTCTGTGGTGACCTAAAGGGGTGAGATGGGGGAGTGGAGGGAGGCTCAAGAGAGAGGGGTGTGTGTGTGCTAAGTTCCTTTACTCGTGTCTGACTCTGTGTGACCCCATGGAATGTAAACCGCCAGGCTCCTCTGTCCATGGAATTCTCCAGGCAAGAATACTGGAGTGAGCTGCCACACCCTCCTGCAGGGGATCTTCCCCACCCAGGGGTTCAATCTGCATGTTGTGTCTCCTGCACTGGCAGGCAGGTTCTTTACCACTAGCACCATATGTAATTAAGACCCATTTGTGTTGTACAGCAGAAACCAACACAACACTGTAAAGCAATTTTCCACCAATTAAAAAAAAAAAAAACTCCCTCAAGGCCTCTTGACAGCATGAAACACCACCCAAATCCAAAACAAACGCCAACAAAGACATACTTATTTCTAAAAACTTGACAATAAGGAAAAAAACCAAAATTCCCAGTCTCCTTCACTTACCCAGGAGTTTTGCAATGATATAAAGGGCTTGTCCCCAAAGAAACAGTTTTCCATCACGGCCACAGTTGCTAGGGAATCGCTTCTGACTACCAGGGTTTCTTTTTTCATGTTCTACAAAATCAGCTGGCACATAATAGTACTTTGGTATGACAGGATAACCTATGGAATTTAAAAATAAGTGTTTAAAATATAATCAATCAGTGTCCTCCCTGAATTTTCCCTTCAAAGACAGAAAGGTTGTCCAATAGGATATAGGAAAATTTGACTCTTTTCAGAAATCCCCAGTCAATAATGTGGGAAAAGTTTCTTTACTTTAAAACTAATTTGACAGCATATGTTATAAATTAGCCATAATCTCTTGTACATAATCTCATGTACATAATCTCTTCTAACAACATTTAACACCTTAAAGTAAATTGATAAATATAAAGTATGCAAATGTTTAGAGCTACAGAAGAAGCTATTTGTAATAGGATTAGTCTGTGGAAGCTTTACAAATGAGATACTATATAATCTTAAGTGAAGAATTGTAACCCTGAGCAATTGCTGAAAGCAAAGAAATCCCCATTTTAAACATTAAGCCCATTATCTACCATTCAATATCATTGAAGAGAAAAAAAAATCCATCTTCCTCCCATGACCAACCCATTTAAAAATATTTCTTGGTAGAAACTAAAAATTATTTAAGACTAGAATCTCTGTGGATGATATCAATGGGGGGAAAACCAACTTTCTAATAGTGCTACAGAAGACTTCTTGTATCATCAGCCCACAGTGAACTTAATTTTTCTAATAATACTGCACAGATTTCTGTAAAATTTGCTTCTTTATTCATGCACCAATCAACAGTGACACCTCTGTCTAAAACCAGTAAAAAGGTCTAAGAAACACAGAGAATAGTTTCAACATCACTCTTTCAATAGGATGAAGCCTAAGTGTGATACACAAACTATTACCTCAATCCATCAATGATTATTCACTGAATACTAAAAGACCTGATTCAGGGATTTTAAACATATTCATTACAACATTCATTACATTATGTCTCCCACTGGACTAGTGGTTATTTGGAGCATAAGGACAAAAATAACTTATTTTAAACATCAATATTTATTTGAAATTCAATGTTTTCCATAATCATCTTGCTACTTTAACATTATAAATATCTTAATGGGTGAGCACTTAAATGACTCTAAGATATTTGTGGAAAACCCTGAAGAATATCATAAACTTCATGTAAGACAGGAATGGGGCCTACTGCAGTGATTGCCAGTTTGTGCATGTCTGTAAGACCATCCATTTTTTTAATCAACACACCATAATTTTTAACTTCCAGATGTTATTTTACCAATCCATCCAAACACCTAAGATATCTGGAACTTCTCCTTTGGAATTTTTTTGAGAATTATTTTTTGAGTCATATAGAAAAATCACTTATGTTTCCTTTATGGTCCCTGCTGGCACTTAACTGAAACCAATATATTACTCATAAGCCTGGACGTTCTGACCAGTTCTAGGATAGTAAATCCATCCTCAAAGGATGACATTTCAGAACTATGGCAGACATTTATTTCAAAATAATGTGAAAAGCCCTAAAAACATCTCCAAAGAGGAGGCCAAAATATTTATGGTAGTGGTAGTACTGTTAGGCTAGAGCCTCCCTACGTGGCCCTGTGAAGGGGGCAGCATTCGTGAAAAAAGCATTTCTGGTGACATGGATAAAAATTAGTCATTTTTTATTATCATCATATTATATATAGTGAAGGAGTTTCACAGTAGATAACAGATGAAGAACCCCTGCACACCTGGCAAACTATTGGGTAGTAACTATAGCCATGACCTCTTAAAATTCATCTCCATCTCCATCTTTTGTCTAATGAGCTCCTTTTATAAAAAACAGTTTTATTATAACAAGTTAAGAGATTACTGTTTCTAATCCATTTGCAGCCCCATTCATTTTTTCAATTGAATATAAACTGTTCTGTTTAAAAGGTAATCATTTATACACTTCAAAGGAACATTAAGGAAATACTGGTAGAAAGAATGTCTTGAAAAAGCATCCCAACTATACCTTCTGTGGTGTGATGAAGTACTGGAGTCAGAAGATCCTGATACTCTTTTACTTGCTTAGGATTGCCTCTAAAAACACCTAAAATGTAAAATACAAAATCAATAGCATTTGAACTCAACAAGCATCACAGAAATTTTGCCTTAGAAAAATTACCCCAATTGTAATTATTTTGGTAATTTTGTATGTAAATAATAAAATGGAAAAAGGTAAAGCAAATAAATATATATGATAGTTTTCTGGGACACTGATTTTAGAAGATCATGTTAGCATTTAGAACTAAAATCTGAATTTTAATCAAAATTTCTCTGTTCTTAAGTGTAAATATTATAGACAGATATTCACAATGTCATAAACTGCAGTATTCATAGTTCCTATGCATAAAGATTATTTGTAAATATGAAAATACATTTGTATCATTTTTAAAATCCTTCAAAGTATTTTTTAAATTCCTTAAGTGATTTAACATTAGCTCAGAAAGCAGAAGGGTAAGTGAAAGTGAGAGTGTTAGTCACTCAGTTGTATCTGTGCCCTCCAGGCTTCTCTATTCACGGGACTTTCCAGGCAAGAATATTGGAGTAGAGTGCCATTTTGTTCTCCAGGGGATCTTCACAACCCAGGGATCGAACCCAGGTTTCCTGCATTGCAGGCAGAGTCTTTACCCTCTGAGCCACTAGGGAAGCCCTAAATGATTTAACATTAGCTCAGAAAGTAGAAGAATAGCATATAAAAATGTAAAGTAGTTAACATCACTAATTGTAGTCTATTTTGCTAGCTGAAAGGAGTCATACTTTATTTCTGCTCTTCTTTAAACTACTTATATCCTACAGTTTAAATTTCAGGAGAAAAACTCACCATCAATCATCATGTAAAGGAAAAATATGGGAAATTCACATTCAATGCCATCAAACAGCTAAAACAGAAAATAAAACATTAAAAATTTCATGAACAATTATTTAGAACAATTATATTAGAACAATGATATTAATTAGAACACTTACATCATAGGAAAGTTTCTTGTAATAAAAAAATTGGACTGATTCTATAAGTATTTTCTTCTTTTTAAAAAAATTTTCTCAGAATTCTTATTATTCAAAAGCTCATTCATTTATTAACCCATCACACAGTAGTCATTCATTCAATAAATATTTACTTAGTACTTAGTAATGCCAGGCATCACTAGACAGAGGGCTATGGAGATAAAAAAGATAGAAAATCTGCCCTAGTGGAGAAATAGTCATATAAATAAAACAACTGCAGCACATTACAAAATGTCTATATATGGTATATATCAAGAATCAAGAGCATGAAGCATCTGAGCCTGCCCGGGGGTCAGGAAAGGGTTTATAGGAAAGGAAATGCTTCGGTTAATGCTTGATGAGTCTCTCTGGGGAGATGAGCTACGGGAACTCCACAGAGAAAAAAGAGCAGTACAAACCAGAGATGCATTAAAGGACAATGTCTGTTAAAGAAACCAACAGCAATCCTGTATTCCTGGAACAAGCAAAGAAGCAATGAATGCTGAAGTCCAACTAGGACTAGCTCGACTAGTCCACAACTAGAACACAGCATGCTCTTTAGAAGGGACAACAACAAGAGAGGCATCAGGAGGCAGGTAGGGAGGGGTTTGGAGGTTTTTTTTTTTAATGATTTTCAATCTACCCCATTAAAGCATAGTCTTCAGCAATGTGAATGGATGCTTACTTTTCTGGGAGGTTTTATAATCTTCTGGGAAGCTTAAAAACAGCTAGAATAAATGCAGATGTATGGTATGTATGCATGCTTAGTCACGTCAGTCATGTCTGACTCTTTGCTACCCCATGGACTGTAGCCCAACAGGTTCCCTTGTCCCTGGATTTCCCAAACAAGAATGCTGGAATGGGTTGCCATTTCCTTCTCCAGGGGATCTTCCCAACTCAGGGATCAAACCTGCGTCTCCTGTGTCTCCTGCATTGCAGGCGGACTCTTTATCATTGGGGAAGCCCCACTTTGGTGCGGGTGGAGGAAAAGGAAAGTGATTTACTCTGAGATATTTGAGGCTTGAGGCTACACTCATGCAATAGAATCTCCTGTCTTGAAATATCTTCAAGTTCTCTTCGAGAACTTTTCCATGTTCTCAATGGAATATGACGGATGAGGGGTCCATTCTGACAAGCATTTAAGAAACGGACTCTCCAAATGGTCTTTTACTGCAGTAGCTGGCAATGACTGCTGCATATTTATTTGAAATATAAAATCTTTAAAACTAAATGTTTAGAGGAGTATATTTTAGAGGGAAGTGCATAAGTGAAATAAAAAAAAGAGCATTTGCTTAACAGATTGAAAATTAGATCACAAATAGATATTTTCTATTATCTTAGACAAATGGTATAGTAGGCATGCAAAATATTCAAAGCGCAAAAGAAAAATTACTCACTCAATGAATCAACATGGCCCAATATGAGCAAATGGGCCTTCACATTAATGTTTATTAAGAGTTTACTATGTGCCAAGCACAGTTCTAAATACTTTTATATACATTAATTGATTTAATTCTTATAAAACCTCAATAATAGTAGGTACTAACAGTATTTTTACCAATGAACAATATTATATACAGAGAGGTTAATTAACTTGCCCAAGGTCAGACAGCTAATGAGTGGCAGAGCCATAATTCAAAGACAAGAAGTCTGTCTCCTGAATCCGTGTTTTTTGATCATTCTGTTATGCTATCTGATATGGAATATTTTTGATACCTTAATTTCAGCTGGTTTGTAGTATCGTCTATTGGGATCTTCCAATGATGTTCTATATCCATCTCTCAAGAAACGCTTAAATCCATATTTTCCTTTTAATTTTCTAATCACTTTATCAAGCGTCTGGCTAAAGAGAACTTCATCATCCAAGGCAAATGCAGGATAACTGATGCAGGGGAGCAGGGCGGCATCTGTGTTCTAGGGGCAAGAAGAAAAAGAAGGAAATATAAGTGCCTATAGAGATATGATCAGCACAGCCAAGGAGACTCACAGAGATGTAAAGCCGATAAGGTTATCTAACGGACAGTGAGACTGCTGTGCTTCAAGGGACAGACAGGTGTTTATATGGCATGGTTTAGTGAACCTTACAGAGGAGATAAAACTTTATTCAGTTTAAGGAGTGTTTTCAAGGCTCAACACTGGACTCAAATTTTAGTATATTACATCATTGTGTACAAATTTTCACCAATAATTAATCACTACAACTAGTTTGTCATAACAATTTGCTAATAATAGTGAAAACCAGAAAACAATCTAAATGTCCAACAATTGGCTTAGTAAAGTAGCAGCCAATAAAATTTATATTATAGAAATGTTTACTGACACAGAAACTTGTCTGTTCAAAGAAACAGGTTATCAAGCATTATGAACAATATTCTTCCAGTTTTGTAAAATAAAAGTATTATATATGTATATAAAAATACATATAAACCCAAATGTATCACCCTAAGATTATAATTGAATAGTGGAAAATGAGTGGATATATTCTTATTATTTGCTTGTTTGTAAACTCTATTTGTCTATTACTTCTATAAAATAGTTTTCTTAAAATAACTAAATTATTCCATTTCGGGTGTTTTCAAGAATAGAGCCATGAATTATCCCTACAAAAATTGGCAATCAGGTACTATATAGGCATATAAGAGTTTATCAGACAAAGAAAAAGGTGAGTAGAATGAGAGAAAAGAAATAAGGAAAACAATTCTATTCAAAAGAAATTTAACTTATGAAAAATAACTTTCTACATTTCTAATATATAATATTCCATGACCAAAAAAAAAATTCATTTTGGTATAATGTTACTACTTCCTCAAAAAGAAAAAAATATACATGTAGTTCTCTACGGCTCTACAAAAACTGAAAGGACAAAGCCGCTTTCTCCACAGCTCTGCTCACTTCCTGAACATGATCCCCACAGGCCAGAGGACGGAGTGGCAACACAGTCTCTTCTCACCTCTTATACAACTTCTAACACTTTGGAGCACTTTCTTGGATAAAGGAAAAAACTACACAACAATCATAAACAACAGTTCACATTAATTTATTATAAAAATCTCACATGAGATCTTGATTCTCTGGGTAACAATGAGCACAAAGTTTGCCGGTTGCGATTATGGGCATCGAGATCCACAAATATAACTGACCAAGAACAGCCCTGGAATGAGAGAGAAAAAATTTCCCTATATTAACATAAAAGAACTTGTAGAAAACTAGGCAATCTGACTAAACTAAATTTCACATTTATAAATCAATGTTACCTTAATTTACAAAAATAATAAAATTAAAAAAACAAAGACAAGCAAAGAAAAGTTTACAAAAATATTAACATTGGTTGCATTTGAGAGTGGCATTACAGAAGATTTTAATTTTTTAAATACCTTGTATTTAAATACTTAAATAAGTTTAATTAATTAATTAATTAATTTAACTTAAGGTAATTAAATACTTAAATACCAAGTATTTCTCAGATTTCTTGCAATAATATACTACTTTTATAATTATAAAAAATAAATGGTATTTTTGTATTTTCTCCATCCTGTCAGTTTTCTTATAAACCAAAATGTATTTATCACAAGATAACTAATAAAGGATATTTATTTTAATAAAAATAAAAAATAGTTTAGCTAACACTTCTAACAAGGAATTAAGAACTAATTTGGATTCACAAAATCTGAATTGTACAGACCTAATAAAGAATGATCAAACTAAATGAATTTAGATATCTAGAATTTTCAATATAAAAACTACTTGATTAAAATATGAAGATAGAAGAATCTCAAATCATAATGTACATAATACTTGCTATTATTCACCATGTGTAAGGCAATGTGTTTTGTGCTTCACATGGATTATCCCGTTTAATCTCCTTATGTGGACATAAGTGTCCCCATTTTACTGAAAATGATGCTAAATCTTAGTATAACAGAGACAAGGGTTCAAAATTAAGTCTCTGACACAGAAGCCTTCATCTTAAGTTATACATTAGGTAATTTCCCACATTAAAAATTATCTTTCAAATAAAAACCAAAAACTTGAATAAAAAAATCAAATGAACATAAGAACAAAAAGCTTTAATAAAAAAAACGAAGTGTAACAAAAATGGTTACTGGTCTCCTAACCAAGTTAAAAAAAAATTTACTCTTTAGCCATTAGTGCTTTCCATCTTCAATAGTACAGCTGTTAAGTAAACATGGCTTTGTCCTTTTATTAAGAACCTAGATATTTTGAAAACACAGAGAGTGAAATTGGAACACAGCGACTGCTTCCATTATAAGAGAATACTCAGGAAAAAACATGAGAAAAGGAAGAACACTATCACAAATTTTATGTTGCTTCATTACCTTTCTCACCAATTTCAAAGATGCATTTGCCCTGAAGATAAAATACGCTGACTAAAAGAAAAACCTAGTAGTACTAGCCCCTAGAACCAAATACCACACTCACTCTGTGCATGAACATGGGTTAACAGGAAAAATGTACACAGTATTAGCTCATAAAATGATTGCTCAATCCTAATATTATCTCTTAAATTTCTCTTAACTCTGACAATAAATGAACAAGGAATGAATGAAGCTGTCTCTCAATCAGATCAATGCTAAACTGTCTTTCTATTATTTGCAAGTCCCTACTTTTCATCCCTACTGATAAAATTGAGTCCAGCAAACCTTCATGCAGTAGCTGCCACTGTCAGAGTAATATGCCCTCTGCTTTGAGGGCACAAGACAGAACATGACCTCTGATACCAAGGAGCTGGCCCAGGTGATATACAGCCCTAAATCAGATGAATATTAAACAAAACAACACTGCACATGGCAATACATGACTAAGTACCAGGTGAGTGAACAAACGCTGAAGTTTACAGCAGAAAACAACATAGCAAGCTTGGGGTACTTCAAGCAAAAGGTGAGGACCAGAACTAGGATCTGAATTTGGGGGCAAGGGGGAGCAAGTAGAGCAGTTAGAACAAAAGTGCAGAGAAATAAATATGTATGAGACGTTGGGAGTCAAGTGAATATACAAAAGAAGGGGACTTATTTATCCTTAGGCTGATAATTAAAGTTAATTACATGTCAAATCAGTCTACCTTGAATTGAATTTTTTAAAAGATGCAATCTAAGTAGGATAATTTATAAGTAATGAAGTGAAATGGCAAATTTGGCAATTCTTTCCACCGTCTGATTCAGATGAACAGCCAATTTCTATTTTCTCTCTCTCTCTTTAGTTGCTAAGTCGTGTCCAACTCTTGCAACCCCATGGATTGTAGCCTGCCAGGCTCCTCTGTCCGTGGAATTCTCCAGGCAACAATACTGGAGTGGGTTGCCATTTCTTTCTCCAGGGTTCTATTTTCTAGTTAGGAATAAATCGTTTATCTAGATTCACCAAAGTACTTGTTCAGATCTCTTCCTCTGCCAGCCTCTAAGAAATGTGTGCAAAAAGAAAATAATCCATAATGCTACCATATTTTTACACTAAGATCAAAGGCTAGTAAACGATATTGTTTGACTGTCATCTTAAAAACTGCACCACTGCTTTTAGGTATATGGCCTGGATTTACAGAAGAATAAAATTCACCTAAAAAACCATGAGCATCTATTTCTATTCAGAAACAAATTTTTTAAAAAGTCACCAAAGAAGCCTACATATAGAATCAATTATCACCTACTTTAAATTATCAGACACATTAATTTTAGGCCTGCAAATTTCAAAGGAAGCTAGGTATGTCCGTATTGCTTTGAACACTCTACATAATATGAGCAGTCTTTTTAATTATCACCTCTGAGATTCTGACCTCAGCTCAATTTGTCAGTCTCTTGATCTTTCCAGTTAAAGACAGAAATATGAAAGGATGCTTATATATATAATAACTCCAGAGTATCTGATTAACTTTGGATATTTTATTTTCATCTTTCACTTCCTGAAATTATAACTCTGCTGTAATATCCTGACTCTATTTAAAGACCATAGTTTAAGACTGACAGTTCAAACTTTACCTCAAAACTGAGTTTCTCTAAATGTTTTCTACTATACATATTACAAAATGATTCAACCTGACTTGAGTTCCAGTGGTTCCAGTGTACTAAACCATCTAGCCAGGTCTCTATGACCACAACAAATACTTCTGAGATGGTACCTATGATAAGATGGCATCTAAACTAAAAAGCAGGATGGGACCTGGGACCTATGCTGCAGTGCTGGCACCTGGACAAAAATCTCCTCAAACAACAAAATACAAAAAAACTATAAGAGACTAAAAATAACTGTGCACAAGCAACTGGGGTAAATTCTGGACAAAAGATGCAAAGAAACCATGAAACCCAACTGCTACTTCTGAAGAGCTTGGAGCAAGATTAGGGCACTGACTGCAGCTCCCTGCAGACACCACCACCAAAGGGGTGGGTAAATCACCTAAGTCACCCCTCAGGCCTGATCCCTGGACACACCTCTAACATAACAACATATAAAGAACCAGTTTGACCCCCCACAGCGAATGAGCACGGGAACATGTTACTTGTCCTTGCTCCTCCCTGCTGCAGTAAGGAACTCAAAAAAGCCTTGCCTGAATTTCTTGTCTGGTTTATGATCAATTCCTATTGATTAGGAAGGCCAAGAAACCTGGCAGGTAACATGACCATAAGATGATCCCTTTATTCTCAATTCAAAGTGAAATGATTTAAAGTGCTACCCAGGCCTTTCTTTTTCTCATTAGCAATTTCTCCAAACCTGATCTAGTGCATGTACTATCCTCAAAGATAAATCAAGATGAAACTGATCAGTATATGTACCATACATGACCTTTTCTATTCTCCTGGAACTAAAACCACATCACCATGATCAGGAAACTTTCTTATCTAGTTCAGCATTAGGCTGTCCTATAGCTCTTTGGCACAGCCTAGAGACAGTCTGCAGAAATGACTTTTACTAATTTGGAAACTGCCCCTCTGTACTATGGCTGTGGTGGAAGTGGGCATGTAAACAGCCAACTTTTACTTACTGACCAAACAATAGATTCCAGCAGCCCCTCTCACCGAAGGAAATCCTACTCGAGTATTGTTAAAGGAATTTTCAGGCGATAGAGGGAGATGAACCTGAGTGTTAATTCCCAGGACTTTAGAAGAACAGAGCTGAGACTCAGACTCAAGAATCACAAAAATGTTGCTGATGTCTGTGACATTCACTAAGTATAAATTATGATTTACTTAAGTATTGTCAAATATTTATATAACTATATTCATTTATATATCACTACATATATGGTCAAATATGAATAAATTTCTAAATGCTCAGTTCAGTTCAGTTGATCATCATGCCCAACTCTTTGTGACCCCACAGCCTGCAACACGCCAGGCTTCCCTGTTCATCACCAACTCCCAGAGCTTGCTCAAACTCATGTCCATCAAGTCAATGATGCCATCCAACCATCTCATCCTATGTTGTCCCCTTCTCATCCTGACTTCAATTTTTCCCAGAATCAGGGTCTTTTCAAATGAGTCAGTTCTTCGCATCAGGTGGCCAAAGTATTAGAGTTTCAGCTTCAACATCAGTCCTTCCAATGCATATTCAGGGCTGATTTCTTTTAGGAAGGACTGGTTTGATTTCCTCGCAGTTCAAGGGACTCTCAAGAATCTTCTCCAACACCACAGTTCAAAAGCATCAATTCTTCAGCATTCAGCTTTCTTTATGGTTCAACTCTCACATCCATACATGACTACTGAAAAAACCATAGCTTTGACTAGACAGACCTTTGTTGGCAAAGTGATGTCTCTGCTTTTCAATATGCTGTCTAAGTTGGTTATAGCTTTTCTTCCAAGGAGCAAGTGTCCTTAGTTTCATGACTGCAGTCACAATCTGCAGTGATTTTAGAGCCCCCCAAAATAAAGTCTGCCACTGTTTCCACTGTTTCCCCATCTATTTGCCACGAAGTGATAGGACTAGATGCCATGATCTTACTTTTTTGAATGCTGAGTTTTAAGCCAACTTTTTCACTCTCCTCTTCCACTTTCAGCCAAGAAGCCTTTGTTATAAACTTACTAGAAAAATTAAATTGATCAAATTTTCTTATTTTCTCCCAAACAAAAATATGTTTTGAAAACAGTTTCAGAGTAAAGATTTAAATGATGAGTCCTTTTTCTTTAAATTAAGGCAAATCTGGAAATT